TCCGCATCTGCCACTGCCTCTCTTCCTCCTCTCAACCCACTTTCCTACAAAGTCAAAGTCCCATGTCCTAGCGGCCACCCATCGTGGCCCGCAGGCATTTGCACCTCCTGCCAGCCCTCTGCCATCACGCTGCAGTCGCAGCCTTTCCGAATGGTCGACCATCTCGAGATTGCTTCCACCGATATCATCGACCGTTTTCTGCATGCTTGGCGGTCCACAGGCTTTCAACGGTTTGGCTGGCTAATTGGCCGGTACCAGCCGTACGACAAGGTACCAATGGGTGTCAAGGCCGTGGTCGAGGCGATATATGAGCCTCCACAAGAAGGAGAACTCGATGGCCTTACGCTCGGTCTCCCATGGGAGGATGAGCCGCGTATCCGACAGCTCTCAGCTCAGGCCGCGACGCCGCTGACCGTCGTCGGTTACATTTTCACCGATCTGACCCCGACAGAGGAAGATCGAACGAAGAATGTCTACAAGCGGCACCCGCAGTCGTTTTACGTTTCTTCTCTCGAAGCCATCTTTGCTGCTACCATGCAGAAAGCAAACCCGACGCCCTCCAGGTCCTCGCCGACCGGAGAGTGTGCTTCAAGGCTGGTGACGGCTATCCTCACTGCAACTGAAGACGGGCAGGTGGATATTGCGGCGTATCAGGTGTCCGAGCAGGCCTGTGCCATGGTTGAAGCGGACATGATTGAAGCCACCGTTGACCCCGGTATTGTCCGAGTGAAGGAGGAGGACCGAACGCAAGACTCGGCGAGATACGTCCCAGACGTGTTTTTCACTTACAAGAACGAATACGGTCTTGAAGTGAAGAAAACCGCCAAGCCCGCGTTCCCTGTCGAGTATCTTTTGGTCAATGTTAGTTTCGTTCTCTAATATTCGTTGCGCGAAACTAAAGTTCTTCGTCGTAGGTAACCCACGGCTTCCCCCAAAACCCATCCCCGCTGTTCCAGTCTACTAAATTCGCAATCGAGAACCGCCCGGGCTTCGAGGGCCAGAATGTGGAAGGCGTGATCAGCACCCTTGCTAGCATGGACGCACCCAACATTCAAGACAGCCGGACGGCCAAACCTGGGGAGGCGCACAAGCGAAGAGAGCTTGCTGCATGGCTTAGTGATTGGCATCTGGTCGCCTTCCTAGACACCACCCAGTTGTTCTCTCCCGTGCGTTGTTTCCTTTTCCTTTTTGTTCTATTTTCGTTTACACGAACGCCTCTAGGATGATATGAAGCTACTAATGCGCATAGTTACATCACCTAACCTATTAGAAGATCTCAGTCAACTGGATCCCTTGCTCGCCAGTGATGGCTGGAACACGCTGATGACATTTACGCGGGAGAGCGGTGGTACGTCTTATTATCCTCCATCTAAGCGTGGCTCATTTTGGGGGGCAGCGACTCGGTCAACGCCGATGGCCAGAGACGATGATATTCCTCAGGATGTGTTTGACCAGATCGCGGCTGAAGAGGCTGCTACGAGCGGCGGAGCAGCTGGAGGAAGCTCCACCATCACTGGCGTCAGGATCTGTCCGCACTGCACATTTGAGAATGCTCACGGCGGCTCGGATTGCGAAGTCTGCGGTTTACCACTGAATTAGCTATGTACTTGGTAGCAACAAATGAAGGTTCCACAATTGACACGTTTTACAAACAATGCCTACACAAGTTCTACAACTAATCTTGACCATGATTAACAAAGGGAGAGCAAATATCTAACCCGCAAGCTTAGCTGCGACCTACTGTCCAAATATCCACCAGCTGGCAAATGCGACCCCGAAAAGAACACCCAATGCCCGGGCTACGATAACCACGACAAGAGCCTTGCGGATTGCAGCGTAGAATGTGCTGAGCGCCGAGCCGGACCAATTTATTCTGTTTGGCTGTAAGATGAATGCGCCACATAAAAATAACGGAAAACCGACCTTCGGTCATTCGTGCCTCCTCCTCTTACACTGGCCTCCCACCCGCGGACGACCTCCCGATACCGCTTGCCAAATACCCTTTGGAAAATGCGATTCAGTTATAGTCCCGCTGCAGAACCGGCACACCGTACCATATCCAAAAGTTGACGTCAGGATAAGAGAACCTAGGGAACACGCTTGCCAAACTAGGTGCCACGACTTCCATACGCATGCCTTCTCCGCCCGTCTGATAAGGGAGCTGCAGCATAGGCGAAATAGGGGACGACGACCCCGAGTCGGGTTTGTTGGCCTCGGAGTTGTTGCGCTTAGAGGTAGGGGCGGGCAGGACCATGTACGACATGAGATCGAGGGTCATGCCCAACGAGAGGCCCCACAGCTTGAGCTTTTGGGGACGATTGGACTGCGACGAGAAGCCCTTTTCGAGGATGTCGTGCGGGATGTTTGGCTTGCCGTCGGGGGTGACTGAGGGTGGCAAGGAAGGCTGTACGATGATGGCGGGGAATTCCATGTTGCCGACGAGCGCTTGGACGAGGAGGCGCAGTGCTGTGGAGTGTTTGGGAGCGAGACGGGAAGCGGCATCGACGGTGACGGTGGACCATTTCGGGGGAGCGTGTGCCGACACGAGAGACGCGAGGGAGGTCCAGTGGAGGGTGGTTGACGCAGTAGGGTCGGGAGGTGGCGCCTGGGGAGTTAGTTGGAGAAAGACGAAGGGCGAGAGGATCATGAGCAGGCGCTTTCCCAGAGACGTTGTTATCTCTCTGTCGTCCAGCTGTCCAATGCAAGTATAGTCTCGCTCGGCGAGGTCTATGCCTATTTCTTCCCACGTCTGCCGCATGGCTTGCGCAAGCATAGCGTAAGAACACATGCCTGGGGTGGTGGAATGGACGTGAACCTACCGGTGTACAGGCCGCCTTCGTCGTCGGCCTCGGTTCTGCCGCCGGGGAACGCGACATGGGCCTCGTGGGTATTGCGGACCCTGGTCATGGCCGAGTCCTCTGGGGCAGGGTTTTCGCGCTGCAAGAAGAGGATTTCTGGGCGGGCGGCCGGGTCATTGACCCAGTCTAGTTCGAAAAATTCGGAGAGGGTGACAGGTGTTGCGGGGGGTGGGGGCAAGACTGCGCCAGGGGACGGGACGACCCGGATAATGAGCGCTACGGCTGCTCTGCGGGGTTCTGCGAGCAGCTGTGAGGGCCGAAAAACTGAGCGCAGGAAAAGACACACGAGTTGGAGGCGACGCGATTATGCGGGGCGGGGTTGTGCGTATTCTGTGCAGTGCCCGCGACAACAGCGGGACAATGGAAATCGGTTTCTCTAGCCCAGCCCAGGTCAGCAACGGCGATGTCTGCAGCCCGCTCGACGACATACCGGCCATGGTGGAAATAATGCAAGTTGCGCGGTCACGGTCCGCATTGGGACTGCCCCAATCCCCAAAATAGCCACGGTCACGACAAGCGTGTCTTTTTTTGACGCATCATTTCAATTCCTTTGCTTAATTTCAAAGGGCAGATGGGAACGTCTGGAATGAACGACGATCCTCGCATGGTGCCGAGAAGTCAACGAGCGAAAAAAGTACTTTCCTTTGAAAGAAAAACAAACAAAATGTAATAATTTCCGCCCTAGCTTAAACTTTAAAAGAGTGGGGAGAGCATATTCTACGGCAACAAAACCAACAAAAAACATACGAGGTGGCTGTGCTCCAAAAGCGCCTAATTTGGAAACACCGACACGAGGATTCCGCCACATTCAACGTATCTTGACATAAATCAGGTGTATAAGCTGCGTAGCGGTGCCACCGAGTCGCACTGCTGATTCTTATTGGAGGCAAAATTGAAATAAAATAAAATAAAATGTAGAATAATTGCCGTAGCTAAAAAGAGTGGGGATAGCAGCAGTTCTTGGCGGGGCAAAACAAAACAAAAAACATACGAGGTGGCTGTGCTCTATAAGCGCTTAATTTGGAAACACCGACACAAACCACGAGGATAGGTTCGGTACAAGCCTCCGTGCTGACGAAGCCACGCGGTGCCGGACATGCCAGCGGTATGCCGAAGCGAACAAACAGGCCGAACACGCTTCCTTCAACGAAGGGTCGGCTTTCCGGGCCGGAGCGGGCTTGCTCCGAACGCGTGGGAATCCGTTTCGAACGATGAGGGCATTCTCACGGGGAAGTCGGCCACTATGGCCCACCACACTTCAGTGCCAAGTAGGAGCCAGAAGTGAAGCATTTCTCAGCTATCTAGACCATAATATTTGCAGTGATAACGTCAATGGGATATGAGTTCGACGCCGAAAGCATGTCCAGGGAACAAGCATAAATTGATCCGAAGCAAATGCCGTTATGTCGAAGAGGAAGCCGGACACTCGGCGCACTCGAAAACGCTACCCGTACACAGTGTACCTGGGATCTACACTAGATAAGAGTCCGGATTAGCTATTACAGACCATGACTCGCGCTCGTAAGACCTCACACTGACAGCGCGCGCGGTAAATTGGTGGCTGGCAACTTATCGGCGGCTATTACCGGCGGCATTTGATGGCGGCATTTCGAATATCTAGAATCCTGAGGATTCCGCCAAATTCAACGTATCTTAGGTGTATAAGCTGCGTAGCGGTGCCACCGAGTCGCACTGAAAGGACTTATGGGAGGCAAAATATAAGTAAAAAAACGAGGTCGTACCGAGATTCGAACTCGGGTTACCAGAAGACGAAACAATTCAAAATCTGGTGTGATAACCGCTACACTTGTAAAATGCCGTTGTGCCGAAGAGGAAGCCGGACTAGTGTACCTGGGATCTACACTAGACAAAATCCGGATTAGCTATTAATACAGACCATGACTCACGCTCGTAAGACCTCACACAAATTGGTGGCTGGCAACTTATCGGCGGCATTTGATGGCGGCATTTCGAATATCTGAGGAGGAGGAGGATTGCCTGCGCGGTCCCAAATTGAAACAGAATCCTGAGGATTCCGCCAAATTCGACGTATCTTGACATAAATCAGGTGTATAAACTGCGTGGCGGTGCCACACTGCTGATTCTTATTGGAGACAAAACATAAATATAAAGAAAAAAACGAGGTCGTACCGAGATTCGAACTCAGGTTACCAGAAGACGAAACATTTCAAAATCTGGTGTGATAACCGCTACACTTATAAAATGCCGTTATGCCGAAGAGGAAGCCGGACGCTCGGCGCACTCGAAAACGCTAGTACTTAGCACGCGCGGTAAATTGGTGGCTGGCAACTTATCGGCGGCATTTGATGGCGGCATTTCGAATATCTGGAATCCTGAGGATTCTGCCAAATTCGACGTATCTTGACATAAATCAGGTGTATAAACTGCGTGGCGGTGCCACACTGCTGATTCTTATTGGAGACAAAACATAAATATAAAGAAAAAAACGAGGTCGTACCGAGATTCGAACTCAGGTTACCAGAAGACGAAACATTTCAAAATCTGGTGTGATAACCGCTACACTATACAACCGTTTTTCGTCGGGAAACAACCGTAGGTATGTAGAGTGTTCAATTCTGCATCGGAAAAGTGGAAGAAGCGAAGGATTTGAATCATAAATGAGGGAGAACGAGCAGATTTGTAGATGTCAAAGTTTTGATGCGATTTTTGATGGCTCGTAAAATTGGCCAAGAAACAATAAAAAGCGGAATGTACCGTGAAACAGAGGGAAATCAACGAGCGCGTCTATTTTTCTTGTTGACCGGTCTCCGCCCATCTTTCAATGGGTTATTGGGAGAGCGGCACTTCTGACTGGTAGATTGCCCCATCTCTTTTTTTTGTGTTGTAGGCTTTTGCACCCCGAAGACTAATATTATTTTAGTGGGAGATAATTAAACGGGTTCTGGCTAAGGATGGCCAATACAGAATTGATACCTACTAACCGGAATCCTGGGCAAATAATGAGCTGGGAGGCTGTCGCAGCTGAATAGAAGTCTGATGGGCCTACGTACTTTTAGCACCCAAATGTGGACGACGCGTCGGGTCTCGCGCCGGTCTGGCGGGAAATCAATTAATAAATATTCTATGGACGGAATTCACGCGCAACGGATCGGGATTCACGCGTAACGGCTGGAGTAAATTATGTTTGAGGAGCCCAAAGCTCCGGCCAGTGGATGTAAAATTGTCAGCCACTCAGCCTCGGTCAAAAGCGCGTCGAAACCCGGTCAAATGACCCCCAACGCTCGGGGATGAGAAGCGAGGGATCCGAAGTTTTGATGCGGACGAATTTGTGGCACATCCTCAATTTTTTCTTATTGCTATGGCTCATAGAACTTGTACGCCTCGTCTGTCTCGTCGAAAGACTGCCGCCTCGGTTTTCCGCTGTACATGTTTTTTGTATCAAAAGTTAGAGGGGGGACAGTAAGGAGAAGGGCGGGAAGCGTCGAAAAAAAAACGGCGTCGATTGGGCAAGATTTGATTGAGAATTGACGTTGTGGACCAGAGGCTCAGACCACTTATTATGTAGGTACGCGAAAAAGGCACGGTGGTAGAACTCTTCGGCGAGATCGGCTTGGGATTGTACGGCGCCAAGATTCGAACCTGCGGTGATTGACATTAGAACGAGGGATACGCATTGGGGGAGGGGGGGGGCTATGAAGTTGCAAAATGGCTCAGGCCACGGAAATATTAACAGACTGGGGGTGAGTCGATTGTTTGCTTTTGTTCTCCTTTCGCGACAGCCGATGCACGCTGTAGAACACATTCTATACTTGGGTTATTAAAAATCCGAGAATTTTGCACCCACTGGAAGACGGAGTCATTATTTCTTCGATTAGCAGTCGCCAAGTCAGCAAAAATGAGAGCCTTTTTGCATATATTTGACGCGAAATTGTTGACCTTGAAGCGAAGGTCAGCGTTGATGGGGATAAATGAGCATACATGAAAGTTGAATTAAGCAGATATGCTCAAGTTCTCGAACCTATCAAAAGTGGTTTAGAACAATGTCCTCGACCGAAGGCAGTTTCTGTACCACAGGGCAGCCGTATTGGCAAGCGCCGTCTTTTGTGCCTGCGGCCCGTGTTCAACCCACCTTGAGAGAAATGTGAGTTCCAAAACAAAACAAAGAAGTGACGGTTTGCGCCTCACATAATTACTGAACACGTCTTGTATTCAGGTTTAGTCGGAAACGATTTCATCGAATACACTTTGTCTCTCTTCGCTGGTGGCGGTCGTTAACTGGTTTTGTATGTGGCCGCAGTCCCGGACGCATCGGGGTCCGCATAAGAAATATTGTCATCAATTTCAATGAGTAGCGAGGACGTTAGTGAGGTCAAGTAGGGCGCCAGGTCGGCGCAGCAGGCTGGGGCGAGCAGGAAAGCAGATAGATGTAGCGAGCCCAGAAAGACGCGTCGAGTTTTGGGCGGCCAATGTGACGACCGCGCTAATGCGATTGGGGGGCAGAACAGGCGTCGCGGCGGAGGGTGTGCGTGTCTGACAAGTCGCGTCTCTGCGAGAGTGAGAGCCCCGCCGCACTCACAAAACGCTTGACGCAATGGGGCGGTGGCAAGCGCTGTACATGGGCGTGACGCAGCGGTGGTGGCGGGATTTGTACTTTTCTGTGAACCATCGTGGCTATTCTTCAAGTTTAGCTTTATTCATTCTGAATCTCTGGCTAAGAGCAGAATCGGGTGATCTCGTTTCAAGAGCGCGGCGTAAATGTCCTTTTAAGGGGGTAGTAATTTGAAGTATTTGACGAAAAATTGGTTTGTCTCTTCAAATCCAGGTTGGGTGTAATATTGCGTCCAGAAGGCGTCTGCCTCGCCGACGCGTTGCTTCAAAATACTACGACCGTGCGACGCACGCCAAGATTCAACTTGAAGAGGGAACCTATAAATCTTCAAGTTCTCTCCCGAACTACTTTCTGCGTCAAGTTTGGTGTGCGAGGCTATTGGTCAACGTGGCTGTGCTCGCCTATCTTTGGGATCGCCGATCAACGAAGAAGAGAAGGGCGTGTTTCGTTATTATCGTCGAAAATATTACAATTCTGCCCACCCTCCATCCACGTCGTCGCCACCGCTAAACAAAGCCAGTCCAAACATAATAATACTGGCCCCAAGCCGCATCCCGAGGCCGCGGTATAGCTGTCCAATACCCGTACTCTTCATCCAGCTCTCCCCCTCACGATCTTCGACAACAGCCCTTTCCTCTACGCCAGCCCGCTCCTTGCCTTTGCTCGCGCGCCGCTTGCGTTTCTGCTGCACCGAAATGGGCAAATCGGAGCGCTCCTCGGTGAGAATATGCCAGAACGCGTCGACGACGCCGTTGTAAGGCGCCGGCCGCAGCTCGACACATCCTTTGATGGGCTGGGCGGTACCGCGTACCTGGACTTGTAGCCGCCGACGTATGGTCTCGAATGGAAGCGTGAGGAGGAGGCCGAGGCAGCTGCCCGCGAGTTCGGCGAAGCCCCACGCGATGGGGTTGGCGTCCTCAGTGATCTGAGCGCCAATGTACGAGGCGAGGAGCCCTGGGAGGACAAAGGAGACGATGGGGGGGAGGGTGCAGTCGATGAGGGTTGGGATAAGGAGGTGGGGGTGGAGGTAGATGCCTTTGAGGCCGCCTTCCTCGTGCAGTATGCGGGAGAGGGCGTCAAAGGGTCCGGTGTATGTGCGGTAGCGGGAGGTGAAAGACTGCGCGATTAGGCGGGTGCGGACGAGGTCGAGTGGGGAGAGGATGAAGCCGGTGATGAGATGGGAAACGACGGGAATGACGATGGGCGGGTGATAGAATAGGGCGCTCGTCGGTAGGAAGAAGGCTTGAAGGAGCCCACGGATCATTGGTTGAAATGTGGATGAAAGGATTTCCGTTATGCATGATGTTAGTAGACCTAGATATGAACTGTTGGCCACGAATGCAATGAGGCTCTAATTTCAAACTACCTTTCCACAACGCCAGCCAACCTTCACCTCGGAAACGGCCTACGCGTCTCATCATTCCCCAGACGCCATTGGCGCTGCCCGCCGGGATGATATATTCCGGCCGAGTGCCCTCCTCAAGCACCGAGCGACGGACAACATAGCCCTGCTCGTCCGTCTGCCGCAGCGGCGGGAAGCCGGCATGAGGCGTACTGGGATCAGCAAAGTACGAGTCATTGTCGTTTGACGAGTCGCTCAACTGAGGACGGAAAGAGTGAGCACGAGAGACAGATGGTGTGCGAAAAGGCCACCGACAGCATCGTCGTCATCATCTGGCGCGTCTGAGGGGTCGGGCTCGCCTGCATCACGCGGAACCCATTGCACCTGAAGCAGCAGCTTGCCTACCTCCCACGGCATGGCAATGGCACTACTTGTATACTGGAGGATCGCGGATGCAGCGAGGGTTTTGAGGAGATTAATTGGGTCGATGCCATCGGACGGGTCGCCGAGTTCTGGGGAGAGATCGAATATGGAGTTGTGGGACGGCCTGGAGGACCATTGGTAGGATGACGAGCTGGCTGGGGGTGATGAATTCGAGGCTGCGGCCGGCAGCGCCTGCACAAAGGACCAGGCCGAGGAAGGGTCGCTGTACAAATCCCTCAAGGAGGAGCTCATGTCGTCTCTCCCATGAATGATGCTGACAAAGCAACTCAATAATGTTTCATTGAAATAAACGCTGGTCGCATGGTACATACATACTATTACTAGTGCAGCACTGAATGCCTGAAGGAATACTCAAGGAATATCTAGCTATGGCCTGGCTACGGTGCTATTCCAGGCACACTTCATCTACGTCAGTGCCGATCAAATGTAGTGGCCAGAATCAGTGACGCATATATAAAACTTCCGCTCGCCTCATTTGCCACTACTCTCCTTCTCTTATCCCTCCATGGCCTCGAATGGCGCAGCCCCAAACGGCGAGTCAAAGCAGCAGCTCGACGCCACCCTCCAGAAGGATGCAGGGCGCGTCGCGGTCCACACATTTGACCCAAACGCCTCGCCTTCTGAAAAGGCAGCCGCAGCAGGCAAAGCAAGGGACCAGCTCAAAAGCGTGAAGAATAACGCCGCCCCTGCTGGCCGAGGTACATCTCCGCAGTCTGCGCTCTATCTCCCCAACAGCTCACATCTGCCGGCCAGAACTCCAAATCGAGACCGGGAAATCAGCCGTCGTCCCCACAATAACCGTTGACGACCTCGATGCTAAAAATGCGTCCCCGGTTCCGGATGAGGAAGAC